TGTTATACAGGTGGCTCTGCGTTATATTCCAGGGAAATTGAGGTTAGAGCTGAAAGTAGATCTAGGATCAGGAGTAGGGTTACAACTCGGCTTAGCGCTTGGGTTAGCACAAATTACACTGCACCATTCCTGGAACGTTGCGCAAGTTCGCTTGTACTAAGTGGGAGGGCGTTGTCACTCCAAAGCTCTGCCAGGGGGCGGATGGCATATTAGCAGTTCCGAACTTGCTAACAACGCCATCGAAATCAGCGTTCATCTTCTTAACCATTGAAAGGGCAAAGTACTCTTATGGGGAAGGCAGCTCATGTGTGTAGAGCGAATAGCATGATACTTCATGCAGATGACTCGAAGTCGCTCTCCCACGCACGCAGACACTGTACTGTGAAGGAACTCTCCATGCGGTCTTTCAACCTCGGCAGTATATTTGAAGGACTTTGACTGTGCAGAGGCTGAGTCTTAGTGATTAGTGGAGCTTGCTCTTGTTTGCTCCTAACTATCCTTTACGTTGTGGCCTAAATTTTACATGAAAACCTAGCTCCGGTTTCTTTGCATGGCTTCGTCTTGGGGACTTTTGGCGGTCATGAGAAAAAGCATTGATGTGGATATCGCATTTCATGCTTCGCAAAGAACGTAAGTACAGTAGCTGCCCTAACTCGTGATATGTGAAAATCGAAATATGAGTGGGTGGTTTAACACACATGTGAGTTTATTTATGTTTTTCATTGTATTGACTTGAAGCGAAAAAAATTGTTTACTAGAAAAGAGACCAGTTCAGATCAGTCTATTGAAGGGAAAAAGCGCAGAATTTAGCAAAATCCAAAGTTTCTCGATAGCCACGGAATCTCCTACGCTATCAAACCTTGCGGACCAAAACTTCACGTTTACGCCTGTTGTACTATAAAGGAACGTTAATTTAATCGTAAGATGTTAGCCATTATTTCATGAATGACCTGAACCTCGTCATAATCAAACCCCAGAAATACTTACAAAGAAACGTAAGGGAGAAAAATTCTTCTTAATATACACATGTGATCTTGTTTCGCGTGTTCTACTATAAAAGAACGTCAATTTAATCGTAAGATGTTAACCATTATTTCACGAACAATCTGAACCTCGTCATAAGCAAACACCAGAAATAATTACAAGAAATGTGATGGAAGGAAATTCTTCTTAATGTACACAAAATTGTACGTTTACGATTACAATTGACAAATCCATTTAAATCTATTAGTCACTGACTGGCATGTCCATATGTGATCTTGCGAAACATCTTATTCCACTGCATTCCAACCGATGCAGTCAAGCGAAAACCTGATTGCCTTTTTCTAACTTAGCTCAAAGCAGTTAAAGAGCGAAGAAACAACTGAAAACTCTCGACAATTCTCGTTGGATTACATATTTGAACTTCGGGCTGCTTGGTAACAATCGTACTTTACATTGTGCATAATACGGAAGCATATCTAGCCGAAAATTTCACACAAAAGATTATTTTTAAGCGTAATTATACTTGTGCTGCTTTATTCACTCGTTTTTTGCATGAACAGACTTTAACTACACTTAAAATTTAGGTTTACTCAGTAACCCCAATTTTCCACTTTTTTGGAATTTTACGGTTCTCTAAAGTAACTGTTATTTTAGAAAAGGTAATACTCCTTGATAAACCACAACGTTACTTCTTTTTATTGCACTGTTTACTTTAATGCTATAAGACTCTGGAGACGCAGTTTTGGCTGCTTTTGCGTACCAGGGATTTTCTAGTAAAAATCCTTGTATATCCTGAAATAGAGCAGTCACTATAGGTCCGTGAAGAGTAGACCACACGAATAACCTTAAAACGCCTAATCGCACGACTTAAGGCGAAATATTTCACAAATTTTCCTACAAAATGAGATGAGGAAATGTTATTGGTGTTCAGTCATTGAAAATTTGGAAGCGGATTATCCCCTGCTACTTTATTATTGATTTTCCTGTTGTTTGCTTACTGCCGGAACGGTAAAACACTCTCAATTAGGATTCATCATTTTGTTGCGCATTAAGTCAGAGGTACTTGTGCTTGCAGCAGCACCCCCACACGCCTTTTAAGTGGACGATGCCTTTAAATCGCTACCTTGTGATTTTAAGAGGCCTGTGCGCCTATAGTTTAGAATGTACATGTAAAGTATGGGCTAAAATTCATGGAAAAGGCCAAAATCGGCGGAATATTGATGATCACTCGCAAACCGGCCCTAACACATGTAAGGAAACCTTGAAATAATGATGAACAACCCCGAACGATTTTGTAATTTAAAAGAGACAGAAAAGGTACTAATTTTTGTTTAGAGATATCAAAGGCATACTCAAGTTCCGGAGACGCGAGAAACAGCCATAAATAAGACAAATAAATATAATTATAATCATTGAGTGAAATCATAACCATACCATTCTCCTTATGACAAAATAACTTTTCTTTTATCAGATTTTTTACACACATTTCAGGTATTGGATTACAGTTAGTTTCATATCATCCTGTAACTTCAGGCAAATTTTCGATTACTTTCAGTGTTTTCAAACTTTCTTCCGTAAACGTACATTTTTTCGATGTTTATATTAAAACCTTTAAAATAAGATATTTCTTAAAAGCATATACCAAAAACCTGAAGTTCTGGATATTAGTTCTTATAGGTATAGTCATGTGAGCCATATTTCTAAACTGTGCAGAACATAAAAACTCATTGTCGAGCAAAAGGAACGTCCACAGCAAAAGTCTGATATTTGTATACCATAGATTTATTAGGAATCTTCCTATAATAGGTTAGCTTTTAAGAAGCACCTTAATTAGATATTCAGCTGACGAATAGTTATGCATGTAACCTTGTTCCAAGGTAATGTCAAAGGGAAAATGACCCGTTCTTCAAATCATGGTTCTCCCATAGCACAACGCAAAAAATAAAAATGTTTGATTCTGTCGTAATAAATAGTATAGGTAATTTTTTCTATATCAGGCAATCTCCGATTCGCCAAAATTCTGCCTATTTCCCTTAAATAAACTGAACTGAGTAGACAGTTTTCCTCACTTCAAGTCTCGCTCAGGATCAAAATAACGCGACCAAGTGTATGCCTAATTGTCGACTCCAACGTCGGTGATGACTTCGCATGAATTACCTCACCTACTGTTTATTTGAAAAGTTCTTTAAAAAGGGGCTAACCTTACTAAACAAACTCGCCAAACCGTTTGCAAGCGCGCAGTCGAAGGACTGAAGAATAATTCGATGAGTGGATTTACACCAACGAATGACGTCCCTCTGATTGGTTCATCTTTAGACTGATCGTCGCCCACTGAGTTCAGCCCTTGAGTTGTTATTGGCTCATATTTCATTCAATCGAATGAAGGAATGTGATGAATTGCCTACAGTTAATTAGGCTCTTTGACTTCTGACTAACTGGTGAACATAGCTCCCACTACGAACGAAAAATAGGACTGTTGAAATAAGAAGTTGATTGACATGACATTTCGTATTCTTTCTCGAAGTCATCATCATCATCGTACATCTCTCATTCCTCCTCGCCCTTCCCCTATCTCTATCTATGTTCCACGCCTACGTGGCGCATCCTGCGGTAGCAAGAATTAAATGCATCGTAGGTACTAATTGATAAACTTTTAGCGAGGTCTATCGAGGTGGGGTGTCAAAGCCAAGAAGGTTTAACCTTAACGACTGCGATCTTCCAGGCCCGATTCCGTTGGAGAGGAGAGAAGTCTTGGGAAGGCCAGAGTAGTAGGAAGAGTATATACTTCACAGAATGAATTAAAGAAGAGACAGTAGGAAATTGACTACCAGACACCCGTCGTGTCGTTGGTTGGTTGGTAGCCCTTGTTAGATCAGGGGACGCCGGAGTCCAAACAGGATGCAGTTGGGAGACTGAAAAAAGCCGCGACCTCAGCCGGCTTGAGCCAAAGGTCCACGAGGGTGAGTTGG